GGTATTCGACTATAATATCCAAAACATGTTATAAGGCCCAAAACTTATTTCAGGCAGAAGGTTAATAGGGCGTCTAATAAACGAACAAAACCAACCTACCAATCTATGTTCGAAACGAGTATGTTACCGAATAAAAAATTGCTTAAGCATATTTGGCGTTTCTGTATATTTCAAGTCATCAATAAGAACACCAGTTTCTCGTAAGGTCTCAGAGCAACGAATCAGACATTCTAATTTGGTTTCAGTGTTAGGGGGTTTCTGTGGTAGGGGCCATTAAATCAATTGTGTACCGCCTCTGGGCCATTGCAACGTCGCTGACATATCTACTGCATTCAATATATTAATATGACATCGATCAGCAACATTCAAGATCGTACCTAGTAACCGCCCAGTTCATTCTGTGAACTGTCGAATGCAGCGTTTCAATGCATTACTGAATTCGGATTTCCAGATGTAACACAAAGGAAATGGCAAGGTCCGACGAAAAGATAGGAGACCTGGCGACCAAATCTGCAAAGAGATCTTTCAAATCTTTGATAAAAAACTTTGATAAAGTTTTTTTTAACAAATTTTATAAAATTGCGCATTATAGATGTATATCGGTGCTTATACAAGATGGTGAATTAACATTTATAGTAGATTATCTGTTCATCGACGAAGCCCAGCTTACAACACAATTACCAACTTTTATCCCGACTCTGATCTAAATAACAGAGCGCAATTCTACGAATACCGATAAAATCACTGCAGAAATTATCTCTTACGTCATCTGAACATGTGAAGAACCGACAAAACCGCTCTCTGTATTAAGATATTCCACTGATAAATGTCTACCTAATGCTGCAAATTGTAATACTATTATGTATTCCCAACGCGTACAATCCGCCCATAATATTCATTCTTAGATATAGTTCACCCCATAATTACTTCTCGGTTCTGTCTTGCTCCCGACCTCATACAGAAGTGTTGCCTTTTAACCTCAACTGCACGTGAACTGACAAAGCAGTCGCAGCCATGAATGAATGCGAAGGTGATTTTTACCTGACCCCCAATTTTTTGTTAACAATAAATGCAAAAAGTGAACGAACACCAAGATACCTATACTTTAAGGTTATTGTTGCTTCATGATATGAATGCGACCAAAAAGCCACCCTAAACATGCGGCCATAACAACGCTTTTATCATCACTTAGCTCCAATGCCCTTAGCGATACTGGGGTGAAGCTGAGGACACGAGGCCAACTTGAATGATGCAAATACGAGGTCTTAAGTCCCTGTCTCAGTTTACCTTCTCGAAGCCTGCAACCTCCCATGACCTGACATTAAGCTCAGCTTTGTCAATTCTGACGAAATGAAAACAAGTGCAACTGTGAACTATAAGTTTTCCTCGACGTCGGAAGGTCAACGGCGATCGATTAATCGAATGTTCCACCGGAACATTTATAGAATCCGCAGACTTTTAGGATCTCTAGTTGTTCTACGTTCCCGCCCTATTCATTGTTTGAACGTCTTCCCTGGATCACTTATGTATTTGACCATATTCACTGGATCTGTGCATAGATAGGCTGTACGTACGAGTTCGGAGGAACCTATAGCTGTGTCCATGGATGAATAATGGCAAGATGGAACATTGTACTTGACCGCTTTGGATGGTTGCGGAAATTTGCGACGCCCAAATGTAGAGACATTATCCGTGCAGATCCGATAGACCCTTGTGATAATCGAATAAAACTTTTTAGTAGTATCTCTCTTTTTATATATACTATTTACTTTATTACATTTATTTATATGTATAAATAAACGAATACTAACAACAATTTTGTGGGTCGCCGATTACGAATTCAACAACGTGTTCTGGGCTGAGAGTCTAATGAACATTTGTTCTAAACAAGTTAAACAGAGTAACCCGCAATTCATTTTTGACTTATTTTAAGAATTACATTATACATATAAAAATAGTTTCTCAATCGCTCTTTTTCATTTTAATAAACCAACTAATCTCCTTAAAGTTCCTTCGTATCGACTGAAAAGATTCATGAAACGGTGCTCGAACGACCCTGCAAAAGACAAATTTGCTCATTCAATATAGGAAGAAATTTTTTTTTGAAGGAAGAAATTTGCAAAATAATTTTCTCCTTTAACCGCTTTCAAAACCTCACTCGTATACAAATTCATTCCACCCACAGGTTCTAAAAATAAAGAATCAATTTATCGAGAAAGATTCCATGAGAATAAGCTCTAAATTGTAAGTCTAGATTGAAGAGGTACGCAAACATTCAGTCAATAACCGTAACCGAAAATTTCAATACCTCCATACTCGTCATTATCTCCAATGGACCCTTTGCAGCAAATGCAGTAAACCGTTGCAGCAAATGATTCGTTCGAGACTCATATCAAACCGATCTTTTGGTATTTATAAGAAAATATTTAAATAATTATGTACAGTTTTGGTTGTACAGAGGGCTACTATATAGTATCGTGCACTTTATACAACGATCGCGTGCATTTTTATCCACCTGTACCGTTAACCGTCAATTAGCGTAACTTTTCTAAACGAAATAAATGACACCATATATCAGCATAGGAACACCCGAAAACACCTCGCCATCGTTATAACTAAAAATGCCTTAGGACGGAAGTAATAACGACGACTAGTAACTAACAAAATAGGTGTGCTCAACTATAGTTTACCTTTTAAATGTCAGCACACAATAAACTGACATATAAGAAACATGTATACCCTACACACCTAATATGACGAATAATTAACAGAAAAGAAAACAAAAATATACTCTACATATGACCATTTTCGGCGCTCGGAAATCAGCAAATAACAAGTGTTAAACTGAAATAGTCAACTGATTCCCTTACTTTTGTCGCCTTTACACAGAATACGATTTCCAGAAGCGCCTCTATATAGCAGCTTTCCGCTTATTCTGAATTCACGCTTCCGTCCTGAGCGACTTCGCCAACGGCCCATCAACGAAAAGATCTCATATCTGCGCAGTCAAAAATCGCCAGAGAAATCACAGTTGTGCGCAAAAGCCGCTTGCTGAACTATTATCAGGTGCTGGTGTGCTTACACCCGTCAAACGGACCGATTTCACTGTTGCGAGCAAACGGCCGCAGTCATGGTTGGCTTATTCATTTGGCTGTACACGTTTTGCGTCTCTGGCCTGCTCGATTACAATATCGACGGCAAAACGCGTAAACGATTCCCAGCAGTTTGCTGTATTACGTCTTCATAAGCTTTCCCTGTTTCTCGATTGGACGATGAGTCCCTAAGCGGACCAGCTTCACGCACGGATTATCAGTTATTATTCGAAGCGTATGTCGACAAAAATCGCACTCGACAGTCTTTTGTCATCGGTGTAGTGTTGCGTCGTTGTGCTATATCCGTATTTGGTAGGCTTTCTAACCGCTTTTACTGGTAAGCTAACGTACAACAATGCTGAGCAATGGTCAAAATGAATGAGTTTTGGTCAGTCAGAGAAAAGCCGTTTCTGCGGTCTGTCCTGCCTACTGGGTAACGGATTATGTTCTAGATCTATACAGAGATTTGGTGTTCAGTACTAAATACTAAATTCAGTAAAATTCGGGTACATATATGATCAAAAAGGAGAATGCTATTTACAGGTTGGTTTTTCTTTATCAATCTATCAATTAGTGTATGGTTAGCACTCCGTAAGCTCATCGAAAATGGAAAAGTTGCGACATGGCTGTCAGAATCCGTCGTTCAAATGATTTCCTTACTTCTATGGGTTGATAGTAAGACAGAAACACGTGAACAGTAAGCCGAGCCTCACCAAAAAAGAAAAAGAAAGTTATAATGATAGTGATAATAATAATCTATTTTAGATAATGACGATAGTTTCAACTCTACAACAATATCCCACACAATCTTTTACTAGACAGAGAAGCACCTATCAGCTGTTTCAAATCTCTTATGATACCAAGCTACCTTGTCAAAATGTATTTGTATACCATAGAATGGTAAATTTCATCTGACAAGCGCTCCATCGTCTTTCTCCACTGGCTGGGTCAACATTTACATTTTGGTCATCCTCGAATCTGTTTGTTTGGTTCAGTAAACACAGCGACAAGGACAATTACTGTAGTATATAACCTTTCGAGTAATAACTTATCTCGCAATAGGATCCAATGTTGCTAAGGTTTATCAAGTTGGACCATCGATTATGCCATATTTTTACAAAAGGAAGGCGTTTGTTTTACGTTCGGCACTTAACCGTTAGACATTACTTCAACCGGCTGACTCCTTCCAATATAAACGAAGTGTGTCCACGTTCGACAGTAGAAAGACATAACAAATTCAAAGGATCAACCACTCACTCATACAGTGAAAATCTAAAAATCAGTCTTGACGAGCTCTTTAGCGAGTCCTACTACAAGTGCCAACTGAAGCATCTTCACTTTCAGGACATCTAAGGCCAAGCTTATATGAATGCACATTTGAAAATGTGATTTCTGCAAAAGGAGAACGAAGCCAGTTGCACAAATATCCTGGCACCTGTTCAATTCTGCCTAGATTCGGCTTGGATTTCTATTTTGTCAACTGTCTTAATCGGTACTTTGCAATGTTTACTAAAAGGTTCATTAACGATTTACGTCTACCCCGCGATATTTCTTGTTTTTTTACAGGGAAGGGGACACTAATTGGGTATATGAATAATATAGCAAGGGACGATAATGGAATAGAAACGAGCATTTGCCTTTTAGCAGTAATGTTGCTCTATTAACTTGGTAAATTCGGCTGCTCCGTAAGTTGAAGATAAACATTTTAGCGGGTTTTCGTTATTTTAAAAACGTTAAATCGATATCAATCGATCAATTGCTCTGAGACTAGTTAACTATTGGAAAAAACAAAAATTTGTCTGTCATGTCTGTAATCTAGTAAAGTAAATCATCGTAATTTCGTCATACGCATGCACGTTCTATTACGCTATTGCATCGAGTGTGTGCGTGTGCATGTGTCGTACTCACTTGTGTCCCCATCCTTTCCATTTAACGAGGTACTCCACGCGTCCCTGTAAAAAAGCACATTAGAACACACGTCACTCACAACAACAACAACAGCAGCAGCAGTTTCCTCACAATGCAACTCAGCCAAGAGCGATCCTACGAATAGACTACCCCACGTCGACGACGAATACCACTGGCACCACATTCAACCCATATTCTCAAGATTTTCCTCACACTCGCATCGGATCTAGCTCGTCGGCAGAAAATGCACGTTAAACTGAACCACACAAAGAATTTCACACACGTCTCCTTGAGGTAAACGGCAACTAACAACTCCATCGCATCACCTTTCCCAGACTCTCTGCTGCTCTTTTGCAGGACAGAAGCACACACGCAGACACTCAGCTTGACGGAGGACAACAATAATACGAAGAGGAAAAGCGAGTAATAATAATAATAGTAATAACAACGATAATACTAGCAATAAGAGAAACGGGACAAAAGCATAATCTCCATCAGTCTATCAGATAGCATTTAGATCACACACGGCCCTATTGCACCACACAGCTGAACATTAACACATTCACAATAGTGCTATTGTCGTTCACGAGTGAGCTAGCCAAATGAGCCTATGTTAGCAACACTAGTATTAGTAGATTAAATATAGCTGCTGTTCTGATCGATTTGGGGTCCTCGTCGCGTAGTTGTCGATCAACCACCATAAGCATGTGTACGCCGTCCTTTGTATATACTTCGTTTACATATATATATGTGTGTGTGTGTCTGTATGTGTACGTAAGTGTGTATCTCTACCGATATGTTTTGCTGCATTAATGTCGAACTAGAAAAGGGGCGCACAGTCACTAAATACGACAGACCACTCTCAGAACGAGCGCACACATCGGAGAATCCCCCTCGATCACAACAGCATTGCCCATAGTGTAATATCTAATGAGTCAAGATAGGCTAGCTATGTGAGCACTCAACGCAAACTGCATAAAAGGTATAGGCCGAACGGGTCCTGTAGGTCGGCGACAGCCCTGAGTCGGGCCTCGATTGAAAGCCCCCATCATGCCGAGATCACTTCACACACTCGAAACACGACACACACCTTTCGAATTCGCTTCTTTTGGATATTTTCTGCGGCGAAAACATCGCCCGAGTCGCTGTCCGCCATTTTGTGTGTTTGTTTGATTTTGGTTCGCTGTGGCACGACGTGGTCCCGCCAATTTGGCGGGCTAGAGCGCGCCACAGAACGAACTCGCCGATTGAGAAACCGCGAACAATCGATCGACCGACGGACACACAAACCCGGTGAAAAAGTCCCGGCCACGGTCTTCTAATCGATGACGATTCAACCAGACGAATCGCGGCGGTGAGCTTCACCACTGCACATGTCGCTAATAATGATGTAATCCCTGTGATTGCTTGCAACTGCCGGGCTAGCGATAGCCAAGGAGTCGGCGACAGTTTCGGCGGCTACGCAGGCGATGATAAGTCGGGTACAGTTGATATTAGCAATAAAGCTGTTACTACTGCTGCTGCTGCTGCCGAGTCTGATCTTGCTATTGTTGTTGATGCGACGGCAACAAATACATTGACGACTGATAGGAACTACACCACTATTACTGCCTTCACTTCGACGGCGGCTGGTGCTTGGGATGCTGCCGCGCCGGCGACTGGCGCGAACTGCGCTGCTCCGACCACAGGTTGACAATGGTTGCGGCTCGTAGAGCATCGCACGGCGGGGAATTCGAATAGGCTATCGGACACCGAATTTAGACACTTGCGAAGTGTCTACGAAAAACGAACACGCTGAAAAAGACGCATGCATGAGCTTAAGATGTGACGGAGCTTTTTCCCTGCGTAAAGTTGTCCTTCTGTCGAGTCCTGGGGAAAAAGTTTTGTGGCACCGGGACCCTGAATTAGTTATTTCTGCTAGTCGGTCAAGGACTAGCATAATACACGACGCTCCGGTGCGGATATAAACGACACAAAAATTTGCACGCTATTTGCAATACGCTGAATTCACTGAAGACGAACACTCGGAAGAACTTGGTACATACAGGCCAAATATCCATTCGTATTCCACAGTCGTAGATCGCACTCAGCTGATTCATTAATAATGGCTATTTAATTCTTGCACGCACCCAGTACGAAATAGCTTCTCGGAGATTACCACCGTCGAATTTAGCCACTTTACGAAATTACTCAATATCCGGCGTGCCTCATTTAGCCTACATGATTCTCTTTTCTGTCCTTTCCTCCATCGGCTGGTTGGCCTGTCGAGCTTCGCGCCAGTTGCTCGGCTGCTCCGAAGCCCTTACATTTGTTAGGCCGTGTGTGGCGCTCGATGCTACCAGTTCGCACAGGCCGTGTACTACTTTACTTTGTGAGCGCAGATTGTCATTGGTGGTCGCTACGCTCCAACCGCCCAAGTCTGCCAAACCGCTGGCCTAAGTCTAATTGGCGTTCGGCCCATGAGAGGCCAATAGGAGCAGTAACATCAACGATATTAGCTGCAAGGCCACCGTCGTGAAAAGGGACGATTCCACTCACCAGTGACGAGTGAGGGCCAGAGTGAAAGTGAGAATTGTAGACAGAGTAAAGGGAGAGAGAGAACGCTATAGGGGTTACTACTGCAGCCGCTGCTAGCGGTCATAGTTTTGCGATGCTGCCTGTTGCGGCCGCAGCCGTAGCGACAGCAAAAAGGTGATAGGCACCAGCATCCACTGAAGACCCGCTGCCAGACAGCTGCGGAAGAAAACAAGCCGAAAAAAGTAGATACCGAGCCTCTTTAGTTCTTTTTCCCATTGCTGGTGCTACTGCTGGTACGGGACGATTGCCTGCCATAACTGTCCGCAGCTTCTGTTGACCTTCAAATCATCAGCAACAGCAGCGTCATAATCGTCGTTGTGTGTGCGTTTCCGAAGTCTGTTCCGTAGAGGAGGATCGCAGCAGATAGTCGTGTTCTCGTGCTATTCACTCATAGCGAGTTATCGCTGAGCGACTGATCGCGTTGCCGAACAGCTGCGCATTGTCCGTAGAAAGTTAGAAACCTCGATGGGATCAGCATTGCCAGTCCCCGTATGTAGTTAATGTTGATAGTGGCATAGAAGAACGCATCAGAGAAGAAGCACTTCTAACGAGCGAAGTGGGTTGTTTCAGTTACTCTGTTGATGCTGTTCAGCGCGTTCCGCGATGGCTTTAGCTAGCAGCAGGCTGGCTGCCTCTTGTTCAGGGATGCCCCATGATTCTCCTCCTACTTGTCGTACGGCGAGGCTCTGCATTTGCGAGGATTTGCGGCTTGTTGATGGCCCGCCATCGTCGTAGGGATAGTGGTGATTGCCATCTGATCCACAGTTGCTAGGTGTCCGCTAACATTATGCGGGCCAGTCGGCATTAGAGTTGCTTCGCCGCTATTTAGGAGTGCTTCCTGTCGCCAGACTGAGGGTGTTGAGCCGTTGAAACGAGGGGAGGAGACCAGATATGCGAAAGAATGTATCAAGACATTAGGCTGATACAAACGATAAAGAAGAACGAAGGTGACAGAAAAATAACACCTTCTATTTGGTTGAGAGGAGGGTGGGCAGCCAAGTTGCGCACGAGGTCACTAAAATGCTAGGCCGAAGAAGAGTTACTTCACGCTCAATTGTATGTGCGATGCGTCTGGTTATGTGGGGAGAAGGCGGGCGGATGAAAGAAAAATTGGGGTTGAATAGAGAGAGGGTTGGCTGTGAATGAAACGCTTTGAGGTGTGTTACGTAGTGGATTGATGCAAGTGGCAGAAGCACGTGGATAAGCATGGATTAGTACGACGAACGAAATAAGATCAACGCTATGCCATGTGACCTCAACATCGGTTTTATGTCAAATTATTGGCAATGAAGCTCTCAAAGGGAGGACGAGAGTGGCTAACTGGCTCGATCCGTCCGGATTGTCATCTAAATCATATATATTCAACACTCGAGTCATAATTGCAGTGTCGATAAAACTAGCGTGCAAACCAAGATTTGCTTTGTGAAATCGCTGCTAAAACAGGCACAACAGGTCAACACAATGTAGTGGAATCAGCAGAAAGGCAACGAGCCACGAAATGTATAAACCATTGTAGTTGTCTTCGTGAAGTTATGCTGCTGCTGTTCCAGACGACTGGCGGCAGCTAGTAGCATAAAAACACCGACGCGTACGTCCAGTTCCGGACCTAAATCAATACGTGTTCGGTAAGACTACACGTTACCACTCCCCTATGCCAGTGGCAATAAGATCGTCTCGCATAAGTATAAACAATCGAACCTTGATTCCTATATACGTTTACGGAAACAAGTTTGATCCTCTTATTTCATTTGCCATAATTACCTAGAGATAGAATATGTTCGTCTTGTGGATAAATGCTGTTGGAAACCATCCAGATATGGCCGGCAAAGCCCCGCCCAATGCTATTTGAAATAATGCCGAGTAAAATGTTTATGTAGTCATTTCTGTCATGCAGTGAGTTCTATTGGTGACGCACCAAATATAAACACAAGTGGACAGAAAGTATTCGTGATACTGGTACTTGTAGTTAGCCTTTAGGCCCGAGGTTTAGGAGTGTAGAAAAGCAATACGTTCAGCAAAAGTTTTTGGCACGACAAAATGACGTAACCGAATATAGCCTGAGGCACCGACTGCTTGTATCAGCAGTTGATTATTTCTCATGATTTACTTTCTTCCTTGTTAGGTCTTGTAGGTTTATTAGTGAGTCATCCGATTCATGTGATAAACGGTAATGCTCCATCTTTGTTCTATTTGGTCTGACGACTTAAAAGCTGCTTGCGCCGTTTTCAATTTTTTCTACCGATTTTCTAATATGAACATTTCAAAGGTACCGACTTATTGTTATTTAACCGGCAAGATATTCAGCAATGCCCATTGAAATGTTGAAGACTTACAATATTATCGTATAATCCTAAATATATTCTACTCGACGAATAAGAGCACAACGAAGACATTAACCTAGGCGTATGACCTAGCAGGGGTTTGCCCCAATTTGAGAAGCACACCTGGTTGCATATATATCCGTGGTCAGTGTGTTAAATGCTACAGCCTACCCTGTTGAATAATAGTACTAGTAGCTACAATTTTCAAGTGATCTGGAGCACTAAATTATATATGCGTAGATTTATTTATTAAGCGATAATAAAAAGTGTGTCCATTGATTTCACTCGTCCGTAGACACTATTAGTAGATAGATTAAAAAAAAGTCTCCTTATTCCATCTTAAAACAATTTTGCTTCTTTATTATTACTATGATCGGCACGCTTGAAAAATTTCAACAAAAAAAACTGGAAGTGCCCAAATACATAATTCTAAGTCTAAGTTAACTGTCAATTTTTTTTAAAGCGTCGATATTTAACGTTAACAAAATGTGAAGAGACAACCCTCTGTTGAATAACTTCAATAGTCGATCTTTTGCAAATCGTTTTTATAGCCATCCACTCCAAGTTCCCTACCCTAAACTGACGCAAACCCTTATCATTATGTTACGCTTAACGTTTTTTTAGTCCGTCGGAATGATTTATTTAGACAGCGGCACGTTAATTAATATTAAATTTAAAAAAAGCCTATTTTTTTTACGATACCATCGGTTGTTCTTGATATTTAACGTAGTAATATATACATATATGCCTTTATGGCAACATTTACCCTTTGTGCCGAACGTATCTACCGTGTCTGCAGTTCCACATCCAGTACTTTGTCAATTAAACGTTGCGTTAGACGGCTAGTTTCCAACAGCACGAAACGAAGCGTGGCCACGTCCGTAGTCGGGCCTAAATTACTACGTTACCCCAAGTGTAATAGGTAAACACATTTCTGCTACACCATCTCACGGGGACATTATTCCCGTCCTGTGTCGTTCTTCGAAATCTCTCTCGTTGATTATGTCCGCTAAAGCCGTTCTCGCTCAGCCGCCAACTCTGCCATTTGTCTATTCTGTCTTCAGCCAACAACAGGCGAACGCCTTTCTCTGTCTCTCTGATTGCTTCGCAAATTTTCAACGCCGAAGGAGACACGACGGAACTAAGGATGTGACAATAACCACAGTGATGTGTGACCCCCTAAACAGCCTCTGTCCCTGTTTATCGTTCGCATCTTTTTGTGTTGGGGGTGAATCTGGGTAGGTTTGTCTGTATGTCTGTTTGTGAGTTAGTGAGTGTGGATTTCTTTGGCCGTCTACTTGCCTATAGCTCTTTTGGCTTTCCCATAAGATCACTGTCATAGGTAACCTTTTTCTTTCTCGCCGCTCGCTGGCCGCGTTCGCACATAATGAGCAACCA